CTTCTTTCCTCTAATCTAATTTCTTCCCATTCCGTCATTGTATGGGTCAAAACACAAATCTGTACAATGACAACTTTGAAACCGTTGGGAGATTCATGAATAAAATACGAATAAACACTTTATTTGCTCAAAAAATTTAAATGCAACTTTCAGTGTTTACGTCTGTGCGTGTGAGATTAAGCACGAGACGCTTAGAATATTCTAAATCGGCGAAGCTTTCAGACTATGCGACAGCAGCTATCAAAATAGCATAGAAATGTTGGATTCCTGGCTGTTGGGGCTGTTATACTGAATAAACATATCTGCTTATATTTATTCAAGGTTATAAAAAGTGATTGCTTCATGAGTACATCGAGAATAACTAGGATACGCAAACGTTTAGCTTGGCCACCAGACTTTGCTATCGACTCTCTTCTCGAAGTTCCAGACGTTCTCATCATTGATGTGAGTGTTGTCAAGATCCTTCCATGAGACGACGTAAGGCGCGATCGTGGGAAGAGCTACTGGGTTACCCGGCTTGGATGGTTTTGCTGGTGCTGCAAATAATCTAAGTGTTTTAAATGAGTCGGTCTAGTGAACTAAAGGAATATTGCCCAAGAAGTGTAAAATCCCAAACGTTAGACTACTTTTAATTAAGTGCACAGTCTATAGAATATTTTTGTATACGAGATTTGGTCAGTGAAAGTCTGAAGTCCACAGGTCTCCTATGCACACCATGAGGTTTTTCCTTGTACTTATAATTCCTGAACGATGCCAAGAAAACTGCTCTTATCTTCCGACTTTTATGGGTTTAGGGGATGAGACTTATAACCACATGCCCAACAAAAGATTTGAGGCTATGAAAAGATTAAAGGACTTGTCGGTCTGTAGCAAGTCACAAATTTCATCCAACTTTGCATTAGCATGTAGATTTATATATTTTTAAACGACAAATTGTTGTAGTCCCTGTAAAACCAATATTTATCATATACAGTTTTGTTGGTCAAAGGTAATAAGCTACTTGTACTCACCTAGCAATGGATGTTGAACTAGTGCTACATCGGATCCAAACCAATCTTTGGCATAGTTGGACTGAAATTATGTGATTGAACTACTGCATTCAAATTGCTGTAAGGGTACACCTGATACGAACCAATGTGCGCGGGCATTATGCAATTTGCTTTTGAAAGCCAAAGCTAAAAAATACTGGCAATTCAAATTGATAACTTGGAAAAATTTAACTCGGAAACTTGAAAAAACTTGGAAAATTATGATTGAGCCACTCTCCTATTTTGAGTGAGATTATATTGCCTTCATTAGAATACTAAGGCTAAGAATTTCCATGC